GGTCTTATCAGAGTCTCCCGCTTGCCTTGTAGGATCCGTCTGCTATCTCCCTGGTTCAAGTATTTCACTTGACCCCTGCCACTCCATCTGTGCTACTCGAGGCGTTAATACCCATCCCCTGCGTCTGGGTGACTAATTCGAGGTAAGGGCCTCTGAGTAAGTCTCCTGATCAAACCTTTGCTATATGGACCATGTCTATGGTAAAAGAGGCCTACTGTCAGCCAACTAGCTCAAGTCTCCGCCTTGTCTATCCTGTTTCTATCCGTAATACTAATTCTGTGACTTGCTATGCCCTAGTCTCTGGTGTGCCAACCCACAAACGTTGTGATTCAACATTGAACCTAATCAAAGCAAGCAGTACCACAACATATTTGGGTTCAATTTATTTTAACTAGAATCATGTAACTAATATTAAGAAGCTCAAACTAATAATGTAGGGGCTGCCGAAGTGTCTACAGCGTGAATGATGGAAATATGTTTTTATTTACAAAAATAAGAAGGAGACATATGGATTGCTTGTATATAAAAATGCTGTTTCAAATAGTTTGCCGATCCTAAAAAGAATGTTTACTGATAATCTGCTTAGAGTAAATAAAAAATTAAAAACTGTATTTACAATAGTTCGTATAGTTGAATAGTGACGGTAAAATAAATTGAATGAGTGAAGATAATAAGTGAGAAGGATAGATACATTTTTCCATAATAATATGAGTAAGCCTCATGTTTCCAATGAATTTTGCATAGCCTTGCTTCCCAAAACGCTTTATCTTACAGGATGAACTGCATTTTCTTATTTGACATTAGCAAGATTTCAATTCAGGAAATGCAATGCAAATCCTCTACACATTAACTGCTACATCACATTAATGCATGTGACAGTAGTTTACAGAACAGCCGTGAATTTCTAGGACGGCCAGGCCTTTCCTATATCACAAATCTGTGGAAGTATTGCTGACGAAGCAAACTTATATTTGCTGTTACAATCGACCATATTACTTGTAGTTGGTTTGAGTAGGCTTCGAAACGATCAAAATATTTTAAAAAAGAACTTGATGAAAATTTATTTATTAGTCATTCATCACATTATACAGGCTTGGGTTACTACATTTATTTATTAAGATATACTGGTAGTTTCAATACCTAATTAAACGAATTATTAGCAAAGTAGTAGATTTTATCTGTAAATACAAGCGTGCCTTATCACCAATTACGCTACAACAACATGATATGGTTAAGACCTGTTCTTTTTGAAATTATGCCAACCCTGTGATCCAAGGGCTTCTGTAAACGAGGAGCTACTAACAATAAGATTGCATTTTACTTCAAACTCGACCCTATTCCTTGGATGCTAAATTGAATTTCCTTTAAGGCAGATGTCTAGGAAAAAATTCGCGCAGAAGATTGAAGCGTGAAAAAGCGGTACGCTGAATTGCATGTCTATTGTCGTCAAGTAGAAATCATGGTCAGAATGGCTGGCAGGACTCAGAAGCGAAACTGTAGCGTGAGCCCCCCAGCAACATACATTCGGTGTTGCTTATGCTTAATTATTCGAAGAAAGGCTCTTTTGTAGGATCTCTTAGATGAAACTATGGGATGGCGCAAACTCGCCTTATTAATTAATATTCGAAATGTAAAAAGGTGAATTTAATCGATATCCGATTGCTTAAATGGTTCTGGGTCATATGGCTATGCTTGCGGACTGCGTCAATCTGAACACCGTATAAAAGCCAAACGGCTGCAGTACAACGGGATTCAGCCAACCTCTTCTGGTAAGATCGACCTACGAATCCCTTCTTCATGCACTTCCATACGAAATTAAAATCAATTTGTCCCCCTCCAATTGAGTTTGACAGTCATAATTTTTTCGAGTAAGTGTCGAATCAATTTAGTAGATTGAAAGAGTTTTTAAGACAAATTTAGGCAAGGGGATTAAGGCTATGTGGTTAACGGGAAGTTTGTATATGAGAGGCGACAAATGGGGGGTAAATGATACTGCGTGAGAAATGAAATTTTGTTTCGGTTGATTTTACTTAAAGTCATGTATAGAAGGCCAAGAAGTAGCTTGAAGGTCCGTATATGACAAGTAAGGTCGGTTTAGCATAGACAAGGGATACCTGGGTAGTAATCGAGAGTTAAGCTGCGACTAAAGCGATGTTATTTCAGCAAATAATGAATCTCAGAGGAAAGAGAAACTAAACAACACATATAGAGCCTTGCTAGAGAATAAAAAAATAATAAAAGCTTGATGCATGGTACCAATTTGTTCGTATCTGTATTGGAACTTTGAGCAATCCGTCATACAAATATAGTAATTACAGCTATAAACTATCATGGGACAAATATAATTTAGACAGGGCCCGTTGGTTAAGTCTCGAATATGAAATTTAATCCTTCTTAAATCATAATTTTTTAATTATTCAAGAATGCTATATTTTTGGCTATTAGTACGAGGAATACAAACAAATTCGTGCCAGTAGCAGGGCTGACAAAAAATATGGAAGTTACTGAATAGATAGATCCGTTTTCATAAATGTTGCAAGCGTAATCATAAACATCGAAAATTGCTAGATCCGCTGGGTTTTAGTTTCAGAGAAGAATTGACTAATTAGCAAAATGAATGAATATACTTCTATTTAATAGGGTATTATAATTATAGATGAAATTACTTTATAACAATCGATCTCCATATAGCTTATTTAAGTGCACAAATTTGTGGCAAGCTAGTTGGAATTGTTCAACCTTGTCAGATTGCACAGAATATCCGGGTAAACTTGCAAAGTCAAGGATAAGACATCGTTTTCCATAATATGAGGGACAATTCAGAAGTTATTCCTTAATTATAAAATGAAATTTACATTTGACTCCCATTCAAGAAGGACAGGTACCGCAAAAACTCTGTGACAAATAATGGCAGAATAATTAAATACAATCAATATATTGTATGATACTACAATTAAAATTCATAAAATCAAAATAAAATGCTTAATGGAACCTTAATGCAACAAAATTATGAATAAAGACGTGCAAACTTTTTCATGCAAATTATTGAATATTCGACAATAACTCTCATCAGCCCCTCAATAAATATTATTTTGAATATACTGTAATAAGCTGAAGATTTCTTTATTCAAGCGGTATAAATATTCTTATAATGTATTAGTCATAACTATTCGTGATACAATACGGCTTTATTTGACCGAATTGGTTTGGGCGCCTATTTTTTAATAGTCCTTGCAATGAGCTCTTTGCCTCAGCGGATTATCAAGGTAATTGACTTTGTCTATTTCACCCTCAATTACATATAGGAAACGAAAAGATTGATGCAGGAACCTGTCGAAGGAATCTCCGCAGTACCTAGTGATTACAACGCACGTTACTTTCATGTATCTATCAAAGGTCCAAAGGATAGTGCCTACGAAGGTGGCCTCTTTCAACTGGAGTTATTTCTCCCAGAAGAATACCCTATGTCTGCACCCAAAGTTAGATTCACCACAAAGATATACCATCCGAACGTTGATAAACTTGGTCGAATTTGTTTGGATATTCTGAAAGGCAAGTCTATAAGGTTGGATTACCCACTACTTAAGTTTTTACTAAACTGATCGAGAGCCTTTGATGAGTGGAAGCAAATGCTTCATTCACTCGTTTATAGTTATTTTAAATCTCATGAGAATTGTAAAAATGAGAGCCTTAACAATCACCTCCGTCATATATGCAATATTTGATTCCTTTCAGATTACACCCATAATGCCTAAAACTTTGCTTTTTTAGTAACTCATGTTGCTCACCCTTTCATATGGATTTGTTTTTAATTTCCTAACTAATTAGATATAGTCTCATGACTAGCCAGATACGTCGACATCTGAATTTTTATTTCTTCTGCAAGCCCATCTTGAAAGGGCGGATACTTTAAGGCTTTTTGGCCACCTTACTATTGGTCCCTAGCCTTTTTTTTTACAAGGATAACCTATTTGTTTTGCCTGTATATGTTTGTTTTATCCTGGGCTTATAAATCTAAATTTTTTAGCATGTTTAGCGTACCGTGCTCTGAACAGATCTCGATTAACCAAGTGAGTTCAACTTAATCCAGTGCCACTCATCCTAATGCTTAGCTTAAAATCTACTAATTTTCTATATGATATCGTCCTTTCTGCCATATACTATGCTCGAATGTCGAATAGCCAGCTATCGACTGACCAGGACATCGTTTCTCACTCAGCATATTTTCGTTCAACTCGTGCTATTCCAAAATTTGACGATATATTACGAATTGGGAGCCTAATTTTTAACTATGCACATTGCTGTCGATTCTATACCTCTATTCTTTTTCACAAATTCATAGATAAATGGAGTCCCGCTCTGCAAATTCGAACGGTCCTCTTATCCATCCAAGC